ATATCCTATATGAGATTTTCCTGCTTAAAATAAGAATATGTCGAGTTGTTCCCTTTTTTGTGTTTTCAGTTTTGTGGAATGACGTCAAGGAAACAACGTTCAAATTTATTTCTGACTTTACTTTGAAGAGCACACTGCGATACTTCCGGATCACACAGTTTTTCTGTCTCTACCTTGATGAAGTTGATAAGACACAGTGGCTTCCTCTGTGAAACCACGCCTGAAAACCTCTGTAGCTCATTGCACTCAAGAACAAAAGTTACTTGCCATGAATTTAGAAAAAAAACAGACAAACTTCATGTAAAGACTGAAATATAGAAACAATGAAGAGTTACTCACAAACTGAAATGCTGACTTATTCAGGCTGATTGGCACACATGCACTCTGCAGCTGGGCCACATGATCTGTGTTTATGTGGGAGAAGAGGAGGAGGATAGCACAGAAACACAGTACTCATTTCTGGGTAACTGTGTCGTTCCTTCCCTTTTTTGGTTACGTCCCTTTATCTGTAGGATATGTGAGAAGTTCGGTCTCTGATGGTAATCAAATATGCAAATACTCCCACGGGAAAGTGAGAGATTACTGCACCTAATTAGAGGGTTTGAGACCAGAGTTTCTGGGTAAAAAAGAAACTGATATCATCATTTTGTGGTGCAATGCCACATTTGTTGCACTCATATGTAGTTGGGGGCAAAGATTTGGACAGATGTTTACAGTTTTACTAAGTGTAGAACCAAATTAAAAGAATCATAAACATGTCTGTTTATACATGGCCACAGGGGGCAGAAGTCTAAGCAGAAACTGGCCTTTCCCTGACCACTTCCTCCAGCTCCTCCAGGGGAACTCCAAGCCAGCCGAGAGACGCACCCTCAGACCTGAGGGTGTCCCTGAAAACCCTCTCGTGCTCCCCTCAGCTTTCTGGCCAGCGGTATTATCTGACCAAAACATCTGATGTGTTTTGTTAATATGTCCAGACCACATCAGATGGTCCTCATTCTGGAGAAAGCCCTGGACCCCTTTATATTGCATAAGGGAAGAAAGCATTTAAGGGGCCACTGTTCCCCTGAAAGTGCTCCCATCCGACATGGGAGAGGCATAAAAATGTGTATACTGTAATTAAAAGTTGGACATGTATTCTTTCTAAAGCCCAGCTGTGGAAACTCTGCTGGATTCAAGTAAAAGTTAGATTTCACTCTATGGTGGGCTGGAGCTACTCTTCACCTGTTCTGTGATCTCAGTAAACTCTTCCCTGGTGATGTCAAGGTGCCTACGTGCATCTGCACACGTCAAATCTTTCTACACATTCAGATGACAAATCTCATATTTATCATTCATCTTATATTTAACCTCATTGATTCTGTTTACAGATAATACCACAAACATAAAAGAT